CTAGTGATGCGTTTAGGCCCAACAGAGAGAAGGATGAGCTGACATACGCCATCGAGACTATTGAACATGGTGGTCGAACTAGAGGCAAAGGAAGTGTCTCGTGGAAGCATGGATTCCCTCAGGACAGACCTTCCTACAGAAGCCGCTAGAGAAAGAAGGAAGAAGAGGCACAGCGGCTCCAGAGGTTGGAGGAAGCGGTGCGTGAAGCACAGGAGCAGGAAAAAAACCTTGAAGCGAGAATGCAGGAGGAAATCAGAAGGCAAGTGCAAATAGCAGTGAGTGCAAGCAAGCAGGCATCAGAGCCAGGAATCAACATTAGCCAATCTGTTCAGTTGAAAAGCAGTTGCGCTTCCACGGAGATACCAAATCAAGGGGACACAGGACTGCGCTTCCCTGTGGATGACGTCACTGAACCTTGTACAACGTGTGAGCTACACATTCCAAAGGGGAATTCCACAATCAAGGTGGCTATCGGTCTTGTTAATCCTATCGACCAAACTAAGACACCAAAGATTCATGGGAATATAATCCAAGAAGGATATGCTACCATCTCGGTAGATAAAGCTGAAAAAGGTTTTAGTGATTTGCCTCTTGACATTCCTGGATGTGATGGCGAGAAGACTCTAGGAGAAGCGGAGAAGACATTCATTCTATGGCGCAAGCGCTACATTATCATTCCAGGGATGTCGGCTCCACCTCCTCCTGAACTACCTCACCATAGGTACGTGTGGATGAAAACACTACATCATTAATTTGTATTGGCTTAAATAATTAACAATCTGCTCATAATAATATGTCATTCCTTTTTTGTAGCAGATCCTCCCCCAACCTAAATCCAATTGTTCAATCGCCAGATCATCATAGTGCTCTGTACGATGACATTGTGTTGGAAGGCGAGGCTGCATCCACACCATCTCCAAGGAGGTCTCCAACGCCGCTGCCAACACCTCCAAGGAAGTCTCCAACGCCTCCCCCGCCCCGCCTACCAAGAAGCCTAGCAAGAGGCCAGTCCCTCAAACGAAGAACCAGTCCCCGCCTGCAAAGAAAGCCACCGTGAAACCAAGGACTATTCCCAAAATAATATCTGAAGAGAAGGAAGAAGGAACTGATGCATATAAAAAAGATATGTCTAGATTTTTTGACAAACTTAAAAAGAATCAAGAAGCAAGGAGAAACCTGAAGAAACCATACTTATTAGTAGCTCCAGATATTCTAAGAAAAAGGGTGGCTTCTTACCAGCAACAACAGCGGGAATCTTGTAAGCCGTCCAAATCAACGTTATCGGACTATGACCGCACTCTCACCAAGTCAATTGAGGCGGCACAGAAAAAGAAGCGGACAGGGAAAGGAGTTGCCCAACTCGGACAACAAGCGCACCAATCAGTCCCCCCACTAGTTGTTGGTAATGAATATGGTTCGGAATTTAGGATTAATGCATCAGGCAAACATACCTCCGGATGTCGATTTGGATCACCTTGGTGAATTTATTGATGAGACTGGTCTCGACCTTTACCAGATGTTTGGTGATGGAAACATTGAGAGTGCGGCGAAGGTTGATATTTGGAAGAAAAATTTTGTACTAGGCCAGAGTCTATACAACCCTCAAGCCTTATCTGATCTGGGGACGCAAATGTACCTGCTAAACAAGTGGTACATGCAGGCGTCTACCGGTGGAGACTTCTGCGTTGGTGTCAGAATTAGAGACGAACATTGGTTCCGTGGCGATGATGTTATGTATGTTGACTTTGCAGAATTTCATCAACTATGCCACCTGACCTCTCTGGACAAAGTTATCATTAGCTGCTATTGCCTGTAAGTAATAATTCTTTCGATCTATTATTAAACTCATCATATGTGTGTATATGTGTATAAATTATCCTAACAAGTACTATATATATGTAGATTTACAATGACAGAGCTCAGAAAGGAAGGCTGCAATGAAATTGGTTTTGTTGATCCCTATATAATATTTAAAGACCCAATTACTCCAAAGACTAATTGAAAGTCTGAGTCAGAGAGTAACCTCATGAACTTCTTAGTGAACCAATGCCACAAGAAGGATATACTCTTTCTCTATAACTTCAAGTGAGTGTTAATAATATCGATCATCCTTAATGGCTCATATGTTGATTCTAGTTAATTAATGAGTGTTATGCGTTATATCCTATAAACACATGCAGCAATCACTGGATATTGATGGACATCGATCTGGTGAAAAGTCACTTGATAATCTATGACTCGATGAGAAAACCACAACAAGACTACCAAGATATGATAGATATTATCCAGAGGTAATTTCGGGATCTCTAGCAACTATATATACACACAAACATGATGATTAACTATATCTGATGACGTGGCAAATTTTTTATTGGGCAGTGTTAGGAAAACCTTTATTAAGAAGCAACACATGAAAAAATGCAAAGCGTCACTGAATGTAATCCCTTTGAAAGTAAGTCCCCTGAATCGCATCATCTTTATTAATTAAACATATAGCTTTCACCGGATCACCAGATTGGATGACAAATCTTTTTCTCGTAAAGTGGTGTCTGAGGCAGGAACAGGGGAACAACTACTGTGGTTACTATGTTTGTAAGTTTATCAAGGTGATCTCCCAAAGAACTCATACAGAGAGACTCAAAGTACGTTAAAAATACACTATATATTCATTTAATTATTATTATTGATTGTGTTACTATGTCTTTATATAAATATATGTACATATATTAATTTATTTTCCTTTAATTCAAACCTGTAGACTCGATGGTTGGAGGAAAAGGTCATACGGCAAGACCAAATCAAAGCAATTCAAGAGTCTATAGCCGGATTTTTTAATGAGCAGGTCATCGATTCCAAGGACGAGTTCTACTTCGACCCAACACTGCCATGGAAGCCAAGCTAGAGGATGAGAGAAAACTTGTTATATCACAATAACTGTAATGCAATCTTTTTGTAATATATGCACATGAAATAATATAATGTAAAATACACATATGCATGCATGCATGTAAATATATATATGATGCATATATATATATATATATATATATATATATTTCTATGCTTGAATTGTGTGATTTAATACGTTAATTGTGCTTGAACCGAAACATACTATACGCGCGTATAAATGTATAATTAGCAGCGTACAATACGACTTCAAAAACAAAAAAATGAAAAGAAAAGAAAAAAGAAAAAAAACTTTTAGTCCCGGTTCGTATTACCAACCGGGACTAAAGGTGCCGGCTATCGTGGCATGTCAGGAGGCACCTTTAGTCCTGGTTGGTGTTACCCACCGGGACTAAAGGTCCTCCTTTAGTCCCGGTTTCTGACCCGGGACTAAAGGACCCCCTTTAGTCCCGGATGCTTGCTCCCGGGTGGGGAACCGGGACTAGAGGGGGTTCTCCACCGAAAGTAAAGCTCGGTTCTCTGCCAGCGAGTGCGGTTAGATGGATGCTGGAGAGGATTGGATCGGATCGGATACGACGAGTATATATATATGCCTCGTCAACTTCCTCCAATGAAAAAAAAGGGTGTGCTATTTGCCTCAACGCCGCTTAATTCCTTAGCTGTAAAGCGAGCGAGCAAGCACAAATGCCTGTTTGCACTCCTTTGTTTTGTCTAATCTAATTCGCATCACTTAATTAACAAAGACATCGATCCTTTAAACAAAAAAAAGTAAAGCATCCTGGCTGGGGGAAAGGGAAAGATAGAGATCGAGCAGCTAGGGTAGCTAGCTCTGGCGCTCGATCAAGCAAAAGCAAGCAGCATGGATGAACTAAACATCTGCTTTAGCTGTCCCGCACATCTCTGTTCCAGGGGATCAAAATTTATTGACGCCTTGACGGCTTCAAGTCGCTGCCTTGGCTGCACAACTAAACACGTTATATATGACGTTAACCTTATGCTCGATCTTGTCACACTGCTTCGCCAGTAGCGGCAACTTGGGCATAAGTCCTTCATCCTATTACCAAGCGTGTCGTCGTCACTGCTTGTCACCGTCGCCAAGTCGATGGCAGCTGCCGTAGTGTCAAGCAAGGTCCCATACAAGTTATTATTATTTTATATATAGGAGTAAAATAGGACGCGTTTGGTTTCTTTACTGTAACTGTGCTATGCAGCTGGCAAGATTCTTTTTATTTTTTTATTGGAAGGGATTCTTTCTCGTTTGTGTGAGACTGTCTCCAATGGTGATTTATATGGGCATCCAAATCCAAAATAGATAGTAGGAGATCCAAAATCAGCCTCCAACAGAGTACCTATACGGAAGACCCATTTTGGGTTGTTTGAGAGACACAACCTAAATACAAATATCATCTCTTCTGAAAACTTATTTGTAGAAATGATTCTTTTTTAGGGTCCTATTGTTGGAGAGGATGTCGAATGGGTATTGAACCCTTTGACTGTAGCACTACCTAAATTTAAATAGGTCTTATATTTTGGGTGTTGTTGTTCGAGATAGTCCGAGAGAGCCAAAATAGCTCATGTACTTGGGCAGGTTTTTCGTTGTTCATGCCGGTAAAGCGAGGCGAGGCTAGCCAAAGCTACGCTAGAAACTAAGGTGGGTTGTTTGTGTTCCTAGACCAGAGTGGCTTGGCTCCTACCGTCGGGTAGAGACAGGCATAACTTGGCATGGCTGAGATGGTGCAACTGCACATGTTTCGTTCCATGTTCTAGCAGAGCCAGGCTCTGTGTTGAGATAGTGATTGATAGCCTGTACAAACAGATATGGTTACCTTGCATCTAGAATGTGGTGATGTTACCGAACATCTTTCCTTTATTTACTACCATTCCATCGAGCACTTCATTGGTGTCGGAAAACAAGGACCACCAACTTGTCGTCGCGCATGTCCATATATATAGAGTCATAGGCGGTCGCAATGGAGCTATGGGCGTGGTCGTGGCGCGGGGACGGGTAGTTAGCAGGGCAGATTGGGCCGATGATGACGCGACACACCAGCATCGCCCTTCGTCCGGTGGTGGCGCGGGCGTGCGCGGCTCCGTTAGTTGTAGGCGAACGTGCGCACGGCGGAGACCAACGCGCCGAAGGGGCAGGTGGCAACGCCAACAAAGAACACACCGTCGTGGCGCCGTGTGCGCGGGCTGCCACCCTCGCCTCCTCGAACCGCGCCACCGAGCGCGACGTGCTTCTGGACGTGGAACAAAGCCTCCACCGACGGCTCTGCCCCTGCCTCCCCACCCAGACGCAAAGATGAGCTCCATGACCCGCCGTGACGAGTGGCCCTTGGGCAGCCCGCTACCGTGAGGAATGCCGAGCTCACGGGCGGCGGCCCTAGCGTCGACGACGACAGCATGAACAACTCCCCGACTGCGTCCTTCACCATCGGCTTGGGCTTCTTCTTGGCCGTAGCCACGGCTCCCACGCTTCCCTCCGCCTCTCCCTCGACGGGAAGGGGAGCGGAAGCGGGTGGTACAGCTGGTCGAGGAGCGGTCGTACGGGGTCCTCTAGGCAGCGCAGCGGCCACTCTCGGTGTCAGGGACTTGGGTGTGAGGATGAAGGAGGTGACGGCAACGTCGCTCCTCTTCTCACCCAGGCCCAAAAGAAACAAACCCCATTTGGTTTCTTGGAGCCAGGGCGCGGGTGCTTCAAGCACCGTACTTGCTAGGCCCAACAAGTCATCCATGCAAACAAACAGGGGCAGTTGCAGCCCGCTGGCCTGGTCGGGCTTCTAAGCTAGCGAAACAAACATGCCCTGAACGCATCCTCATCATAAATAGGAAGCATTAGTAAATAGAAGATGCGTAGAGAAGGGTGATGTAATTTCCTTTCTTTACTTTCTTTTAAGTAAGCGGTGAGTCCTACTTTGGGCATGTTTGAATACGAGAGCTAATTACTAGTTGGGCAAAAATTAGGTAAAGTTAGCTCTAAAAAATCCAAATGGTAAGACTAATATGTGGGCTAATTTTTAGCCAAGTCTTGAACTAGTAGTTGTTAGCTAGCTAGCTAGCTAACCTAAACTAATTTTTAGTCCAACTAGTAACTAGCTCATCCAAACGTGCCCTTTAAATTGCTACTCACTCCGTTCCAAATTATAAGACGTTTTGGTCTTTTTTAGATTCAAAGCTTTTACCATGTACCTAGATATATATTATGTCCAGATACATAATAAAAGCTATAAACCTAGAAATGTTAAAACGTTTTATAATTTGAGACAGAGTAAGTACACACTAAAGCATTTTGTACTAAGAGCAGCTTTAGTATTTGACGCCGGCAAGGCACAGCAAGCGAATAAGTTCTAGCATCTAATCTTTTCAAAAAAAATATATATATATATATATAAAAATTTGGTGATTTTTTCCTTTCTAAAAAGATTGTTTCCACCCTCCCACACCTTGTCTGTGAGTGATGAGTGCTCGTGAGGTCTGACGCATTGTTGTTTTTTCTTTCTGATGAATATTGGTGCCTAGTGTATTTTGTATTTCGGTACTCTGCGCTACCACTCATTCAAGACAGTGCTTCAATGTATTGTAACTTAATAATTCATCCATAGATGATGCTTGTCACTTTGACATAATACCAGTTTTCTATATATTAATTAACGTGACAAAGAAGATCGGGATCATCGTTTGGACCGCCAGTAATAATGACGAGGCGACGATGATGTTTTTTTTTATGATTGTGCAAGCAGCGCTAGATGCGCTGCACCTTGTGATTTGTTTTGATTTCCTAGACAAAAGTAGATCGGGATCGATTGGACCGCCAATAACGACAGATGCTCGCCTTTAATTATGCTCTAGTTTTCTACTAAAGCATGTGGATTAACAAAGACTGATCCTGTTTAATTTATTTCCTCCAGAAGTGCATTTCCTACCCTCTCCACCCAAAAAAACTATAAAGTTTAATCAAATTCTAATATACCAAACACGTACTATTAATTTAATTATGGAATATATTCTTGTGATAAATTTATTTGGAGGCAAAAAAATATAGATGCTCTTTTCCATGAATTTAGTACATTTAAAAAAAATATATACTCATTTCGGTTTTCTCGTTGACTCGTTGTGCACATCTCTTTCTTAGATCAACTCCAACAGCTCAGTTATTCTTGTTTTGGTGGCTATTTTAAAATTTATATAGCAAAAAAAATAGACTCTAACAGATACGCTATCTAGTTTTGTAAAATACGTAGGAAACTGGTTATTATCCCTTGATTTGCGGTGGCCATATAATGTCAACCACGGGTGCTAGCTATCTGAAGATGAGAAATATCATGACTATTGTAGACCTCTTCTTTTGTTTAGGTTTTTTCTATTTTTAAAAATCGCTTAACTATAGAATTTGGCTACTAATTTTAGCTGTTGGAGTTGCTCTTGCTATATAATAACTTATATCTCTTGCCGCCTCGCCCGTCCTCGTCATCAGAGGTGATAATCACGATGATTAGGTTCCGTAAGAGAGAAAGGTTGTTGAGTCTGGGACAACCTAGCCTATAATAAATATGTGTGTAACTGTGTATGCGTGTAGAGGGCATGCATGCCAAGTTGCCAACCTGATGTTAATCCACAAACGTGCTTGCTAGCGTCCGGCAGGGTGTTCGGATTTTCACGCGTTCAGGTGGGGCCCATGCCGCCCTGAATGCCACCAACATCGAGAAGAGGGGGAGGCGGCAGCGGATGCCCAGCCGACGCCAGGAGGAAGAGGAGGAGACACCGAGGCGAGTAGCAGAATGCGAGAAGGAAGATGCAACACCCGATATTCTTTTGAAATATTCAGATACAACACTTGCAACATACGACCGAAGGCAGATGAAACACTTGAAACATATATCTAAAACACTTCCAAAAACACATGAAAAACAGTTGAAACCATTGCAAAAATATACACAACATTCAGATAAAATATATGCAACATATGTGTGAGACATATGTAACATATGTGTGAGACATATGCAACATCCAAATAAACACATTTACAACATATGTCTGGAAAACAGATGAAACATTGAGAACAGAAGCTTGCAACATTCGTATGCAATAATTACAACATATGCAACATCCCGATCTACTTTTACAACATCTATATAAAACACTTGCAACATACCTATAGAATATCTAAAACACTTGAAACATAGGCTTGCAACATACACTTTCAGGGTAGATGATCTACTTGCTACTTGAGCGAACGGAGGCTCGTCGACGTGGAACACGATGCCGTGGAGTGCTGCGGTAGAGGGGATGCCAGCGAGCGAGCGACTATGCGGCCACCGACGAGCTGTTGCCCAGATTTAGGCCAGACTTGGACAAAACGAGATGTTGCATAGGCCCCTCCATCATTGAACCATCTATCATCTATCGGATCATTTGCCGCGCTCTCCGACTGTTGCGCATCTTGAGCACGTGCGCGAGTCGCGAGGAGAATCCCTTCGCCTCCGCGATGCAAGCAACGTCCGCTGCCAATATCGTCAGCTCAGGCGCGGGCATCGATGGGAGGAGAAGCAGAAAGAGAGAGGATAATGTTGTGTCTGCGAAACGAGAGCAGGGGAGAGGATAAGACTGTGTTGTATCTATAGGAAGGAAGCGGCGAGCAGATAAATATGGTGTGGGATTTTTTTTATTCGTACGGGATGGGTGACGCCCTAAGCGCAGCATTCACAGAAAAAAGGGCTTCCTCCCACCACCGGTGCACTAACTTGCACCCCGTACAGTTCTACTGGTACTTGTTCCTTATCCAGGAAAAAAAGGGGAACACTTGTGTGTTCAACTGGCCATAGATATTTCCAAACTTTTTGATTTCAAGGAAAAAAAGGGCTTTGGCAGTGTGAGCCATGAACAATGTAATAAATAAATAGCGGCAGTAGTGGCCGCAATTGCGGCCAGCCACAATAACGGTAGCGGTCCATTGCCGCTACCACAGTGAGATAGCGCTTTGAACTTTGTAACTTGAAACTTTATGGCCGCAATTTTGAATAATGGGACGACATTGTGGCCGCAATTGCACGTAACAGACCGTAATAGTATGGAAGCAAATAACCCTAATCAGCTCAACTCACTATGACTCACACCTCCAACTTAAACACTCACGCATCGGTTGTAGCCATTAAGTCTAGGTTCATGCATTCTTTGATGTAATTAAATGTCTATTTATACTTATTATTCATGATATATGTACTTATAATTATGTGGGATTATCATGTGCCGCTATTAGAATTTATCGTCCGCTATCCGCAATCCGCTATCTCGACACTAATCCGCTAGCAACCCACTATACACTATTTATTAGTTTGGCCGTGAATAGCAGCGGCTCAATAAATCGAACGGCAACTGAAAAAAAACTTTAAAAAAACTGCGCTTTTACAGCGGGCTTCACCCAACCATGGGTCGCTCTCGATGTCTCACTCAGTTTCTTCACTTTTACTACCATCGTGTTCATGATTGGGACTTTGGAGTGGAGCACGATGAGGTGAAAGTGAAAACCGGCCGGTCGGAACAGAGTGAGAGTTACGTTTGTGGGTAGGTGCGTGACCGCTGCCAGTTTTGTGGGCAGGTGCACTGAACCCGCATCGCCGCGCACGTATCATGCGTGCTCTCGCGTCTTCGCTACCGTTTGTTAGCTGCTGACGAGGATGATCGCGGTCCTCGTACTACGCAGTAGCGTTACTGCACAAGCCACATTGCCACAAGATGCTAAAAAAAAAAAAGCCACAAGGTGGTGCTGGTGCAGGCTGACAAAGGGTGACATCTTTAATTGACTCCAACTGGTACTAGTACTTATTTCTGATAACGTGAGCATCCCTGTCACTCACTCAGAAAACTCAAGTTTCTTTTCTTTTTTTTTATTTTTTCGGGTAAATAAACCGAGGTTTCTTGTCACCATGACGCTGTCGTCGATCTGTTTCCCCCAAATTCGTGTAAGCTGCCTTGTACCCAATTTGGGGTAAAATAAAATAAATAAATTCCCCGATGCTACCGGGAACAAGTGTTCGATATCGGTGTGTCATGACATCATGCGTGCGTGCGCTACAAATGCAGCGTCTGATTGTATCTATAACATGTGGACCGAGAGTATCACAAAAACTTTGAAAAAAATAATATATGACCGAGTATTACACAAGGGGTTGGAATTTCTTTAGCCGTAATAATATTGATATTGAGGGGAATTGATCGATCCTTGCATATGACTATGGTGGCATAAAAATGTGGTGGCATTTCCGTAGGTGGACCAAGGCGTGCATGCCCGTATATATACCAGTAAAACACGTCACTTTTGACTGACTCATACATACTAAAAGAATCTTACAATTTGCGTACGTACATACGTATATTTCTAATATTTAGCAATCAATATAGTTATCATTTGTGCTAGGACGACGCTCGGTGTTAAGAATTATTATATATTAGTGATCAATTAGGGATTAATCCTAAATGGGTGTCTTTTCCACACTCTCTCTGACCTGTAATAACTGCTTCCATAGGGCCTGTCTATATACATATATCTACACAATGTTCATTGAAAATACAAATATTTGCATCACTCGATATATCTCGCTTTCTACTTCTACCACTTTATCAGCGATAATCTTCTAACGTACGTGTGATTCTGCCCAATAATCTTCTCGGCAGCAGCCAACTTGTGTAACTAAATTCTCTTTCCCTCGTATAATCCTCCTAGTCCTTGTTAGGGCAAGAGATGGGGTAAATGGTCAAGAACAAGGGTCAATGATTACTTACTCCGTTCTAAACTCGTGTTGGTTTTTGTAGATACACCAGCAATCCCTAGTCCCTCTGTCACTTTTTACATGTCGTTCTTTTTTTGAAAAAGTCAAACATATTTAACTTTGATCAATTATATGCAAGAAAATATTAATACTTATGGTACGTAATTAGTATCATTAGATAGATCGTTGAATCTATTTTCATAATAAACTTATTTGGAGATACAAATGTTTGCGATGTTTTTCATAAACTTAATGAAACTTCAAAAAGTTGACCATCATGAATACCATAGACATAGATAAAAAAAGGGATAAAGGGAGAATATATCTAAACATAGTGTATAGTGTATACTTATAATTTCAAACAGAGGAGAGAGAGAGAGTAATTTTCAGTTGATCAAAGTTTTAGTTGCTTGATTTTTAATGAGAGCTAACAACTCATTCCTGAGGGCCTATGTTTATTTAAAGTAAGGGTTCAGATGACACGAGAGACATTAACAAAAAATACTACAAAGATATAATAAAACGATTCTTATAACAAAGAAAAAAAGGGGGAGTTAGGTTAAAAAAAAAAAAAAAGGGAGAGTAGGCTCTAACTCCTGGCGGAACAGTCTCCTCTCCTGGCGGATGGCGCGGCTTATAACTCGTCCCGGGGACCCCAACGCCGCCTACTCCGCTCTTCGCTAACAAAATCCAGACATCCAGAAGCCCCTCCTCCACTCCTCCAAATCGAAGCCTAGCCAAGCCTAACGCGCCGCGCAGCCGCCGCCAGTGCCCAGTGGCAGCAGGAGCAGGGGTAGGGGTAGGGGCGAGACGAGATGGTGAGGACGGCGGCCGGCGCCGCGGAGGGGGCGGTGCGGCGGTGGGTGGAAGCCGCCGGCGGGCACCTAGTCCTGGACGGCGGGCTGGCCACGGAGCTCGAGGCCAACGGCGCCGACCTCAACGACCCGCTCTGGAGCGCCAAGTGCCTCCTCTCCTCCTCGCACCTCATCCGCAAGGCAAGCCACCCTCCCACCCCCCAAAAACCCCACTCTTGGTGTGAGGCGCATTCGGCCGCCGTTCCGTGCTTCCCTAGAAAGTTGGAAGTTGGGTGCTTTCCGGCGATCTGTTGGATCTCCACCCTCTGTTGAACCCAAACCCGCGCCACGCGGTGATGCGGCCGTGCTGCAAAAATTTAACCTTTTTTTTTCTTGTTTCTGCTATATTCGGAACAATTAACAAGTGGCGAGCCGAGATTTTGACGTGACATGCTTTCTTTCTGTTTTCATGGTCCAAGGTATTAGAAGGAAATATCGTTGCAACAAAAGCATATTTGGGAACGTCCGTCCCCACAGCTAGCTTGGTAGGACCAATCGTGAACAGGACAGTAGCATATGGGTATGTTGTGGAGATTGGAATAGAAGCCCATGCTTGCTGCCGAATTGGCTTACACGTCTATGCTAGTGACTGAATTTGGTGATCGTTCATGAACAACTTTATGCTAGTTGATGATTTTGACCTTGCCCTGGACCAGAGCAGTCTACGGCGCATACTGTGCGTGTGTCCTCATTGGTCTTATCCAGACCCAGTCACCCAGACTTATCCTCAAGAATCTTATGCCAGTCAGGACCTCAACTGAGTCCTTCACTATGGAATTCAGAATCAGAGCTCATTTCTGACCCAACTCATTATGGAGGCTGGACATGGACATCCGGGGAAAGGTGTTTATGTGATTTATTTCCGAAGACAGTTCTGGGCTAATATGCGTAAACTTCTACGTTAACAGTGAGCTGAACTGAATAGCAATTTTCTGTCGTGAACTCGTGATCGTCTGCTCAAATCCCGTCTTTGTTCTGCCTGCAGTTACCTAAGCAAACTTAAAAAAGTCTTTGTTCTGCCTGCAGTTACCTAAGACATGACTTAAACCCGGACTTCCGTACCTAAGCAAACTTATATACTTTTTTTGTATTTTGATTTTGATTTAAATAAATAATTCTTGTTTCATTGGAAAACAGGCGTTTTCAGATTGCCATGGCACATTAATAACCCTTTATGTATTTGGTGAACCAGGTCCATATGGACTATCTTGAAGCCGGTGCAAACATTCTAATCACGGCATCATATCAGGTTCCATGCTTTAAACACTCAACTTTTCAGCTTCATGTGATGTCCATTTGTCAATGATACTGACAGTCATCTTGGGTACTGCAGGCCACTATTCAAGGGTTTGAATCAAAGGGCTTTTCACAAGAGCAAAGTGAAAACTTATTAACAAAGAGTGTTGAGATTGCACTGGAAGCTCGTGAGATGTTCTTGAAGGAACATTTGGAGAAATCCATTCCTATACAGCATCCTATTCTGGTTGCAGCATCTATAGGGAGTTATGGGGCTTATCTTGCTGATGGCTCTGAGTACAGGTATTTATAACTACTTAATGACACAGATTATGTTTTCACATACTTATGCCAGACACTCACTTTTGTTTCGCTGTAAATAGTGGGGATTATGGTGAAGCTGGTACAAAAGAGTTCCTGAAAGATTTTCATCGGCGGAGGCTTCAGGTTCTTGCTGAAGCAGGCCCTGATTTGATTGCTTTTGAAACGATCCCCAACAAACTGGAAGCTCAGGTCAACTACTTCATGATCTGAATCTTTTGCCTTGCATTTCTACCCATTCTTTATGAAATAGTCTTTGATCGTTGGCTACTTTGTCTTCTAGGCATATGTTGAACTCCTTGAGGAATGTAACATCAATATCCCTGCATGGCTTTCCTTCAACTCAAAAGATGGAGTGCATATTGTGAGTGGTGACTCATTAATTGAAGGCGCTACTATTGCTGACAAGTGTGCAAAGGTTGGTGCGGTCGGGATAAACTGCACACCTCCAAGATTTATTCATGGACTGATACTCTCCATTAGAAAGGTATCCCCAGTATCCACCACATTTTGCACAGTACTCACCACATTTTTTGCCCCTCATTTACAAATGGATGTTCCTCTTATCCCTGCGTAGTGCATATATCATGATTTTCATTCTTGTTTTCCCTTGGCACAAATCACTGTGTTGTGGAGGCTGCAGTTCTGTTTTATCTGACTAACTTTGTTGCGTTACCACAGGTCACGGACAAGCCTATTCTGATATATCCCAACAGTGGTGAAAGATATGATGGTGAAAAAAAGGAGTGGGTGGTAAGTTCATTGAGCAAACTTAAGCTTATTCATATAATCATATATAGCAGCTGTCTTCTTCGGAACATGAAAAAACAAGGTAATATTTAGTTTTATCTCTTTCATATTGTGCATGTGATTTGGGGTTCTGAAACCACCAAATGTAAAAACATAAATTCATGCAATGTACTTCCCTAGGTGCTAGGAATTGTACAGCTAGAGCTTATTGTGGTCTCTTCCTTTTTCCACGAACAACATGGCTATTCAGTCTTGCATGTGTGGAAGCATGATAAAGGGGAGATGTGTTCTCTTATTTTGTTTTTCCTCTGAATGAATACACATGCATAGCCAACAATGTGCATTTTTATATTATCCTCTTCAGCCCTTGTCCTTGTTAAATACAAGCCGTCCTTCAGAATTTCGAAATTAAATATAGTATGTGATGATAAGCCTGAGATGGTCTAAGCTCTGGAAGCTTCATATTCTGTGCAGGAATCCACTGGTGTATCAGATGGTGATTTTGTTTCTTATGTAAATGAATGGTGCAAAGATGGGGCTGCGCTTATCGGCGGCTGCTGCAGGACAACTCCAAACACTATCAGGGCCATACAAAGAACTCTAAACCAAGGCTTCAACCAGCAGCACTTACCTGTAGCATAGAGCTGTGCTCTACTCCTGATGAGCTCCTCCTAGCAGTACCTTGAGCTATATCCCTGAGATTCCTTAACCAGCGAACCAATATAATGTTGCATGTTCTCTTGCAAATGAGATGTTCTGCACCTATGTTTGTAAATAACGGTGTATTTCTGGGTTCTAAGCTATCCAACTTGGAGGTACAACCGGTGAAGGGTGAGGAAGCAGCAACAATGATAGAGTTCTACTACTGAGTGAGGAAAACTACTTGCGGTTGAGTTAATGAAGCTTAGTAACTACCATTATTTAGAGTTAAAAGAGTTTGTATGACAGTTGCTCCGGAGATCTGCCCTGTTCACTTGAGCTTATTCAGAACTACTTTTAAGCTATGGAACAGTGTTTTCCTCTCCCAACATTTCAGCATAATCATCAGCATAAGTCAAATTTCAGCATCAACGAACAGGGTTGTTATCTTTAATAAGTGCTTATGTTACTGCTACTTCCCTGAGAACTGTCAATCATATGTAAGTTCTGTTTGGTAAACCTGCGTCTCCTGAAATAAAGATCTTATTACTTATGTTACTGCTACATCCCTACGAGCTGTGTTAAATCATATGTAACTTTTGTTTGAAAAACCTGAATCTCCTGAAAAAAAGATCTTATTACTCCTCTTTTGTCAGCACACAACAATGAGGACATTTGATTTACCAATCAAAAGTTCATTTTTACAGAAAGTATGCAATTTGATGCCAAATACTACCCCATATCCTTGCATGAATTGTTACATCAGCTGCTTTCTTCCGCATGCGTTTCGCCCCTTTGACAAATGCAACGTTTCGCCCCTTTGACAAATGCAACTATGCAAGAAAGAGGCATTCGTTTCGTCGCTGACATATACGCAAGAAAGAGCCATACAAAAATTCATATGGCCAGTTAAACAGAAATGGTGTACTATCATGTAGCATTTAAACGGTGTATAAACAAGCTAAACGACCATTTAGACAAACAGTGATTATACGACATCTAACAATTGTCTAACATGTCACCTGTTCACAACAGGTGCAGAGGTAGCTAACCTGGATTTTCACGCCAGTGGAAATAACATAAAGTAGGAAAAATAAAATAGCGTTAAACAGTATACTTCCATCATCCCGAAAACAAGAGTATCCATGAGCAACATGGCTAACTGTAACCCAAACAGTCCGCCACCCGAAAAAGAAAAAAAAAAAAAAACATTTCCAGAATAAGATGACACTTGGAGAGCTAAAGTATGGTCAACTGAACTGACAGTAGACCGTGAAAAGAAATTGACAACACCTAGGCCTTCCACTGCATCTTTCAGGCCATGATCTTGGCCGATCTCATGTACAGGCTGTCCACAACCTTCTCGACATTCGTGATCGTTTCAAGCGTGGCAGGGAAGATCTCCTCAGTCTTACTGTCCTCGAAGATGATGAGGCAGCCAGCACCTTGATCTAGTGTCCCTGCAAATTTCTTGTCAAGGATCATATGGGACAGCTTCTTCTCAACATGGTTGATTGGCAGCTCAATCATCTCTGCAATGTGGGCAATCTCCACCCTTGAGTAGGGCTCAATCAACCTGCAGAGGTTCTGCTCCAAGAGAGTATCATACAGTGAAGAAAGGTGCCTGTGGACAATAGGATCTTCTTCCAGCTGAGCTTTGTAATCACGGAGAGCAGTTTCGAAGTACTTCAGAGACCTTTTGGAGTAGGCATCGGCCACAGATTTCATAGCATCAACATCAGGACCCAGATACTTCAGGCCAGCCTTTGATGAGATGATTCCTGCAACATCATCAGCTTGGTTTACCATTATCTTGCACAGAAGCATGTACTTCAAGCTGAAGATGGCCTTGGGATCTTCCAGTGAACTAAAAGCTTCAAATGCTTCGAAGAAGTAGCTGTAAGCAGTCTTGTAATCCTTCTCTTCAGCATGAAGGATTCCGCTCTGCAGATCAATAGTGCCCTGCTGAGATGGTGGCACATAAATGGCATTGGCTGCAGTTCTTGCAGCGGTCAGAGAAGCTTTGGCTTTTGGAAGGTTTCTCAGAGAGAAATGGAGCTTGCTCTCCAGGAGGTCAATGTCCACAAGAAGCAACTTGTCATCCAGCCTCCTGACTTCCTTGATGAGTCCAGAAAGGAGTGTGAGGGCCTCAGTATACTCCAGATTCTCTAACAGGAGGGCTGCCAGCCTTGCTTCCACACGCTGCCTGAGGAAGGTTCGCTTCTCCGCACGGGTCCATTCAACCATCTCCTTGCACAGTGAGATCTGAAGCTCAGATGTCCCAGGTATCTTGGCAACGGCATCAATGATGCCACGCACAATCTTCGCAGTCTTTGCCTTGGGGATCAATGCAAAAAAGGGCCTGAGCTGGGTCAAAAGGTTCCTGAGATCCTCAGCTCTGTTCTCTTTTGTGAGGTAGTTTGTGAGATTCGTAATGGCAAGCTCTTTTACTCTCAGTGCATCCGCAGATGAAGAGGGATCCTCAAGCACACGGTAAAGGATTGAGATGGACTCCGAAGCGTCCTTGGCCTCCTGAGCCTTTGCTATGGACTCAGTGGTAGCAGGGAGGTATGAAGATTGCATCGATGAAGACATGGTGACTTCCCACTGCAAGAGAGATGAACACAATAATATATTAGAAATGCTGAACAGAGCCCGGTCAATATGAGTAGTAGAAAATTATTACATAATACAATACAAAGTGCTGATAATTATGGAATCCATATGTACGTACTACGAGCTGTCGGAAGAAATAAATCGTTTCAGACATACTATATCACTTGTTTTTTTGCCCCATATATTTGATTTGTCCAAATAATCATGCTATAGAGACGGGAGGTAGAATGACAAATTTTGTACAAGTGCTGATATTATGGAATCCATATGTATGTACTATCTGGTGTTGAAAAAAAGAAGTCGTTTCATATTATACTATATCACTTGTTTTTTTTTTCCTTATATTTGATTTGTCCAAGTCATCATGCTCTAGAGATTGGAGGTAGAATGACGAAAATTCTACCCACACCAAAGCAAATAGGTAAAACTTTCAACAGATCAAGTAACCACGAACCACAGCATCTTGGTTTTTATTGTTATTGCCAAGTCATAAAGAAAGAATCCATATGTATGTACTCTCTGCTGTCGAAAAGAAGTCGTCGTTTCATACATACTACATCACTTGTTTCTTTCCTTATATTTGATTTGTCCAAATCATCATGCTCTTGAGATTGGAGGTAGAAATAGAATGATGAAAATTCTACCCACACCAAAGCAAACAGGTAAAACTTTCACATATCAAGTAACCACGAATCACAGCATCTTGGTTTTCATTGTTATTGCCAGTCATCAAGAAAGAAACCGACAGGTAACAAGCAAAGGAACAGGTTTTGGGAGAATTAGCTACTGGAATACAGACATATCAAATCCCTTGCCTTTCACCACAGGGGCCACCCATAAGGGACACTGGGTAATCGATTCTGGCATATCAAATCTTTGCCTTTCCCCACAGGCGCAAGGCGCACTACTTGGTTATCTGTTAAAACATTGCAGCTCACCATGACACTGAAACTGCAAGCAAGCATATTGTTTGTAACAACACGAGCAAACGCCTACAAGGGGCGGATCCAGCATAGGACATGCGTAGCTCTTTCGTTTTTGGCAAAGAAGATCGAATCTATTGGGTTTAGCACATACATGTAAATTGGGTCAGATCTCAGATTAGGGTTTCGGGATGCTCGATTTTGCACAGCGGGCAGGGAAGAAAGGGAACGGTAGGGGAGGGAGGGGTGTGTACCAGGAGGAGACTCGTCGCGGCGAAGGTCACGATGAAGAGGGCGCCGCCGCTCGCCCCGCCGTCGACGCCGGAAAAAAGAAGCCGAGTCAGGGGAGACGTAGTCGGAAGGGCAAACAAACGATTTGTTTTTCTTTTTCTTGAGAAGAAAGAAGATCGATGACCGGCAGTAGTATAGGTCGGTGGGACGATTTCGACTCCAGCAAGGCAGGAAAAGATGGGCCAGCCCATATATGAAAGAACGGGCCTATATTAGGAACAGACTTCCTAAAAAAATATTAAGACCGGGCCTGTAGATTGCTGGGTCCGCGTGACGTACGTCATGCCGGCTTCGGCCCACTAGCTCTGTTGTTGCCGTTGTCGCTCCAATCATCGCCTCGTCCTATGGGCCGTAGCTGCCGCTAACCGTTCAGATTGAGTCCACGCCAATGAAGCTGTCTGTACTATACTCTCATCTAATTATTATTTGTTTCTAAAAAATCTAATTATTATTTTCTCTAAAAAAATCTAATTATTATTAAATGATTATAAGAAAATTATCAATTTTTTTTAAAAAGTACTATATACAAAAATATTTTTTTTCACAAGGAGTATAGATAAAGAAAATAAACAAAGATATTTTAAAGGTCGTCCTTTGTACGACATGACAGAAGGTGAAGTAAAGACTTGCCATGCTATATTGCCCCAACGAGGTCCCGACCTGGAACGAGCACGAAGCACAAGAGGGATCAGGTCGTGTCATGCGAAAATTTCTCTCCAATTTTTCACTCTCCACTCTCTTCAAAGTCCGTATATCCCTTCGTCATAAAAGATTATGAGTTTATGACCAAATTTTGCCATGCCAAAGATTTGGCAGCTAAAAGTTGGGCAAAAAAATTGCCATGGATTTGGCAAGCCAAATGTGAGATGTTGATAAATTTTGGTAGCAAATAAAACACTAGCCAAATTTTGGCTTGCTAAATCTTTGGGCGAATAAAATTTGGTCATAAACCAATCAGACCACATATTCGTTTTCATGATAAATTAGAGATAAGAGTCACAATTAATTTATTGTCTGTCCGTGATTTGAACTCACGAACCGTGCTTATAGAGTTAGAATAGCGCGTGTCATCTAGTTGTAAAGTTCGATTACAAAACATGTTGGAATAGATAATGCAAGCTATATGTTTTGTTCCCCTAAAATTTTTGGAACAAAGCTAAAAAAACATGGAGCTAAGCAGTTCTAAACAGACTCTATGTCTAGTAGATATACATACATAGTTAAAAAAATTGTATCTAGAATATAATCCGATGGATGTATGGACACTGCACCGAACCTGAGACGAAAGCAAGCTAGACCACCTTCACAACTGGCAACGTTTCCTTGGTACGTACGTGTGCACCGTGCACACACGAACTCGGCGCTATATACGAATACCAAGTTGTACAGCAACGGTTTTTTAGACGGCCGACGTACTCGAGCTCCAGAGCAGCCACCCTAGCACAGTAAAAATGGTTACTAATGTCCGTCGTATATATACTCAATTCTAACTTTTTGACTTTTTTACACCAAATTTGATCATTCGTTTTATTTAAAAATTTGTGTAAAATATCACTTTTTTCGTCGTGGGTTGGTTTATTAATAAATATTCTTTAAAAATAACTTAAATTTGACTATATTTACATAAATTTTTTTAAATAAGACGAGTGGTTAAACTTGGAGAAAAAAAGTTAAACGTCTTACCATTTGGATGGAGTAGTATATAACAGCAACTTCTTTCACCTCATGCCACTCCCTCCGACCCGACATTTTTTTTTTCCAATGCTAACTCCCTGTCGCGCGTCCCCATCCGCCTCTCCCTCTCCCTCCTCTCTCGGCGGCGGCTCCCTCTATCTCTTGTCTCCGCTCTCCTCCCTCCCTCTTCTCTTAGCGGCACAGGTGGGCCCAGGCGTGGTGGCCCGGCCCGGCCCAGCGGCGCGGCGGCCCCAGCGTCATGGCCTGCAGGCCCCCATGCGGAGGTGGCGCGGCGGCGCGGTGCTAGCGCGGCGCTGCGAGCAGGCCCGCTGGCCGCCTGCCGCCCGACTGGGCGCGGGCCGCGCCGGCTGGTCGCCGCCACTGTGCCGCGGGACGCACGCGAGCTTGCCACGGAACGACTGCTGCCCATGACCAGATCCGGTGCCTCTTGCCTCCATGACCGGATCCGTCGTCCTCCCGTCGGATCTGTGCAGGATTCGCTGCACGGTCCTGTCTCTTCTCTCCTCTCCACGAAGGCGCAAGCGTAAAGGGTAGCAGCGCCGACTTTGCGATGCGGATCCTCCGGCGGAAGGTTCTGGAGGCTTCCCGCCGCCTCCCTCTCTTCTACACCGCGCACCGCGGCCGGGCCCATGCGGTGGCCACGCTCGCGGGTGCCGCCGCGCGGTGGGCCCCGCCCGCCGCCTCGGGCTCGCTTGCCGCTGCTCCGTGGGCTGCCACAGCGCCGCGGCGCCAAGATGCTCGGCCGCTACCTGCTCTGCTCCATTCTCCATCTTCCGTCCATGGCGTTCTCTTCCTCCCTGGGACGATGCCCGTGTCTAATCGACTAATCTGGTGCTCCGCCGGCAGGGTTCCAGTGGGATCGGCAGTGGGTGGTGGTGAACGCCAAAGGGAGAGCGTACACCCAGCGGGTGGAGCCCAAGCTCGATCTGGTCCAGGTGGAGCTGCCGCCGGAGGCCTTCACCGAGGATTGGCAGCCCACGCCCGACGACCACATGGGTATTCCTGGATTCATTTATCCGATTAATTATTCTCTCTGCAACCTGTTTTACTCGTTTTGCTGGCCGTAATGGAATTAACTGTACAACCTGAATGGAACCAACTGATGCAAAAGGGAGAGCAGATTCTGCAGCTGCTTTCCCTTGCCATTTGTTCTTATACCAATTTCAAGTGCTTCTCACCCTTCATTGGGAATTCATGCTGATCGATCAGCAATTGTTAGCATTCATGTGCTGAAAAAGTTTCTTGCTCTGTTACATGCTTGCCAAGAGTTTATCGGTTCATGGACATGGCAAGCACAGCCTCAGGATGTGCACGATTTGCACTTTGGTTTCCATGTTTATGTTTCAGAGGACACTCCGAAAGACATAATTCTTATTCACACCTCTCAAATTCTTGCAATTATCAGAGCACCTGGAATGGACACATTGAAGATACCTCTAGCAGCCAAACACTCCACAATCGATGACGTCTCTGTGTGGGAGTGGTCTGGCTCTGCGTTCATTACAAGAACAAGCACTGTATGGTTTCTTGACTTGCTTTTCTTCTGTTCAGGTAATAAAAGCACAACATTCGCATCAAGGAAGAGGAGGAGCCACAATACAGGTCATTCATTTTATTTGTTCCATAGTTTATTTCCTGCAGCAATTGGCGCCACATACTTCACTCTCACGATTTCAAGTAGTCAATATTTATTCTGTTTTATTTTGAACACTTTGACTATTGCAGGTCGAACTGAGGGATGTTGACACTGGAAACAAAATAACAGAAAGATTTCATACTGATGAGGCCCTTGAGAGTATGATTTGTTTTTCTTTTTCTTACATGAAAGTATAAAACACGACTTTAACAGCTAAGATGTAGCCATACAAGCCTTTATGTTGTAGCCTAACTGCCTCCATGCATGTAACCATCCCCCTACCTAGGCAGTCCTTTCTTCTGATTACAATTTATTGTTCTAGTGTCTTACATAGCAATCATGTGCAAAGCCAATTTTAGGCAGTCTCATAACCTATGGAACATGATTGAGCAAACTAAATTGAATAAATGACTATAATTATGATGTAGAACATGTATATATTGATCAAGCAGTTGGTAGTCTTAGGACCAATATCTCAACAGCCTCTCCAGAATTTTCTATTGCATAAATGCTGCAATTTGTCGTATATAGTGTACTCAACCTCAAGTCCTCGACTATATTCTAACTTGATAGTCAAGGAAACTTTTCTGGCATGTGGTTCATTCAATGAACACATCTGAGAACTATTGAATATAGCCTGGTTTGTAGTCCACTGATGCGGACTTTCATTGTGCCAATACTAGGTCTCTGCTTGACATATGAAAATCAGTCAGCCATGAAGAGGGAAGACACAAAATGGCAAGCAGAAAGGGATGTTTGGTGGCAGGTGCTCCTAAATGAAAACTTGTTATTATATACAGTAGTCATCCTATATTTCAAGGCACGCGCATATCTACTGTGAATAACATTGCTAAATTGTTATAATTTGTTGCACAATATCTTTCAGGATGTTGTGACCAAATTTCCAACCAAATGTGATGTGGAATGGGTGGATGCAGAGGATCCATTGTTCCTTTTGTACACAAGTGGCAGCACAGGGATGCCAAAGGTACTTCTAAGTTCTAACTGAGCTGTATTCAGCAGCTATTGCATTAGCTGGATATTTATCTCTCTTGTTGTATGTAGGGTGTGTTGCATACTTCTGGGGGCTACATGGTGTACACTGCAACAACCTTTAAGTACGCATTTGACTACAAGCCAACTAACATATACTGGTAGGTGGTAGCACATAAGCTCTTATGTTTTTTAGCATGTACCCTCATTCCTTTGTGGGGAATTATTCGTAGAAGCTGCTATTTCCTTATCCACCCCCATTGTTTTGTTTGCATCAGGTGCACTGCAGACTGTGGTTGGATTACTGGACATAGTTATGTAACATATGGTCCTCTCCTGAATAGTGCTACGGTTCTCGTTTTTGAAGGGGTATGTTTGTTAAAGATTTTTAACCAATGTGTAAATTGAATTGTGGTATCTGATAATAAAAGCAACCTATCTGGTTTGATAGTTTTCTTCTTATTTCTTTTGTTGAACTTGTCTTCTTGTCTGGCAACTTATAGCAGTTCATTCTCCGCAACACCAAAGTCTAGTATTATTGTTTGAACAATGCTTGGCTGCTTGTATTTGTTTTGGTGTATTCATTGGATGTTTTCTATTATCCGTTTTCAGTCTGCTTTAGTACTACATTGACCTGATGTGTGACTGCAACTTGGCAAGTGGAAGGATTATTAGAAGCTTCTGATTTTGTGATGTTCGATTGCTAGATCTGAGCGCCATTGATTTTGTTATTCTTTGGTCTTTCACATAAAAATCATAGTCACCATGAAATGTTATTACGATTACTGGAAAGTTTAATAGATGAAATTTGTTGTTTTATTTATCTGGACTAAACTGTCCACCTAAAAGTCATGGAATATTTGTTATAATCTGATATAAATAAATATGTATTGTCATTGAGTTTCAGTACAATCGTAGAAGAAGATAAGTCATGATAGAGTTGTGCATGAAAAATATATGTTCTGGTCGAATTTAAATTTTTTGGCGGAAAAATGTACTGTAGGGGCGGTTCTAGACTGAACCGCCCCTACAAACAGGTATTATAGGGGCAGCTGATGTTACTAGCTGCCTCCAACAAATCTATTTGTAAGGACAGCTGATAACGCCAGCCGTCTCTACAAATCGATTTGTAGGGGCGGTTTGGGAACTGTTCCTACAAATACATGATTTGTAGAGACGGTATTGGTAGGAGCGGTAGGCCAAGCTACATCTATAAACCATCGCCAGCCGCGCCTGTAGATGCTTATTGTAGTAGTGACCAAGCCATAAAGTATGCACGCAGCATGGTCATATATGTACACATATATATAATCGTTCCGTCCACCAAAGACAGATCGAGTTCCCTAAAAAAAAGACAATTCCAAATTCAGATCCCAAGGAATTCACACGCCAGCCATCCTCCCTCCAATCGTCGATCGAGCACCACCATCCAGCAGATCGATCACCAATAATGTCGTCGTTGTTGTCTCGGTGTCTCGTCTCTGGCTCCATCACCGTCGAGCGGCGGGCGAACGGCAGCCACCTGCACCGGATGGACGGCTACTCGCTTCTCGAGCAAGTGATCAAAACCGGCAGCGCGGTCACCTCCAGCGCCTTCTCGGTAGGCGCCCGCAAGTGGGAGCTCCACATCTACCCCAACGGGATCAACGCCGACCACCGCGGGTCCGTGTCCGCCGACCTCAAGCTCGCGGACGAAGGTTTGTGGGACGCCATGGCCACGTACTGACACCCTTCGCAGGTGCGCACAATTTGCTCGGCGTCGGCCACCGCGGTTGGCCAGTAGAAGCCCTGACCAAGATTCTGGGTGCGGCTTGATGTCTGCAGACCCCACCATGGATGTCCTTTAGCAGTAGCCACCCTTGTTCGATGGGGACGCAACGCTGTAGGATCTTGGTGTGGCTTCACTTGTAGAGCTCCCCCTCAATAATGACAAAGGACTTGGCGCGGCGTGCGAGCCGCCAGGCCTCCATTTTGTCCGTCGGGAGCACCTCGCGGAGGAGGTAATCGAGGTAAGGTGTCCTCCAGTTACCTAGCGGGTCGAGCTCTGCCACTAGATCTTAGTCAAGCTCCATGACTTTGGGGTCGGAAGGAGCCGACGGTCGGTCAGCCCCAGAGCCCAGGTGTAGGGTCGAGATGGCAACTAGAGGGGTGGGGGGGGGGGTTGAATAGTTGTTTCTAAAACTTAATCGCGTCGGCTAACCGAAACAAGTGCGGAATTAAACTATCGGTCTAGCCAAGACTACACCCCTCTATCTATGTTCTCTAACACCTTGCAAAGATCCTAATTAAGCAACAAAGGTGCCGGGCTAACTAGAGCTCACCTAACCAATTCTAGGAGCAAGGTCACACAAACCTATGCCACTACTATTTCAAGCAATGAGGGAGCTCCTATACATGCTAGTAAGCAAAAGCACAAAGCCAACTAAGCTCACTAGCAATGCTCAATAACAAGGCAACCAATACCAAATTAGAGAGCGCAAATACTTAGCTACACAAACTAAGCAATGTGACTAACAAGGTTACACAAACCAAATTAGCCACGCAAGGGAGCTACTTCTATGCTACACAAGCAAGAAGGTAACTAGCGAGCTACATAAGCTAACTAATTACAAGAGCAACTACACAAGCACAATATATATAAAAACAATCACAAGCTTGTGTAAAGGGATTGCAAACCAACGGGAAGAACAAGGTTGACACGGTGATTTTCTCCTGAGGTTCACGTGCTTGCCAACACGCTACGTCCCCGTTGTGTCGACTGTTCACTTGGTAGTTCGGCGGCTAATTGGCATCACCCGCCAAGCCCGCACGTCGGGCACCGCAAGAACCTACCCTAAAAGTGAGGGTAGCTCAATGACACGCTCAACTAGAGTTGCTCTTCGCGGCTCCCGCGGGGCGAGCACAATGCCCCTCACAAAGCTTTTCTCCGGAGCACCGCACAAGCTTCTTGCGGGCTTCGATGGAGACCACCACCAAGCCATCTAGGAGGCGGCAACCTCCAAGAGTAACAAGCACCACCGGCTTGCAACTCGATCACCTAGTACCACTCGATGCAACCTTACGATGCAATCACACTAGAATTGCTCTCTCACACAATCGAATGATCACTATCAAGCATATGTGAGATGGAAGGCTCCCAAGCACTCTCAAGCATGGACATAAAGTCCCCCGAGGTGCTCACCTCCAGCCATGGCTGAGACCCCCTTCTATTTATAGCCCCATGGGCTAAACTAGCCGTTACCCCTTCACTGGGCAAAACTCGGGACGACCGGACGCTCCGGTCGTATCGACCGGACGTAGGACCTCAGCGTCCGATCAATGGATGCTCGCCACGCGTCTCCTCCGTTCAACCTTAGTCGTGTGATCTCAACGGTCAAGTGATGACCGGACACAGCTGCTCAAAGTGACCGAACGCAGCAACCCTAGCGTCCGGTCGTTTCCAGTAAGGTACCAGTCGCGACCGGACGCGTCCGGTCGATCATGATCGGACGCAGCATCAGCGTCCGATCCTTCTCCACCTTCTCTGCATCGCCTACGTCATCGTACGTCATCCTGACCGAACGCACCCTGCCGGCGTCCGGTCACTTTCAGCGCCAGCATCCGGTCGAAGACCGACGCCTGGACGCTCTCTACCGCCACTGACCGGACACAGGACCCCAGCGTCCGGTCACTGCGTGACTAGTGTCCGGTGCACTCTGTGAAACCCTGTGTTTTCTGTATAGGGCGCCGGTGGAGTTCCTAACCCTTCTCGCCTCCATTTCATCACTGAGTTGATCCACATCAACTCCAACTTCATCTCCTTTGTAAATGTGCCAACACCACCAAGTGTACACCACCATGTGTATGTGTGTTAGCATTTTCACAATAATTTTCCAAAGGATTAGCCACTCAATCCTAGCGACGATGTAAAGTTAGATCACTCGAGTGGCACTAGATGACCGATATGCAAACAAGTTTGCCCCTCTTGATAGTACGCCCATCTATCCTAAACCCGGTCATAAACTTCTCTATACACCTATGACCGGTGAAATGAAATGCCCTAGGTTATACCTCTGCCTTGCGCATTCCATTCCATCTCCTCCAATGTCGATGCAACACATGCACCAACACATTCAATAATAATATGATCCACTTCATATCATCACGTGATCATATTGGTTCATCGATCTTGACTTCACTTGCTTTTCACCGTTGCTTTTGTCCATCGGTGCCAAGTCTTGCTTAAGCTTCACCGCCACGCGGTCCATCGCTCCAAAGCCTCCGACTTGCCCTTCACGCTTGCAACCGGTTCATCAAGCCAAGTCTTGTCTTGATCTTCTCCACCTTGATCACATGACTCAATGTCTTGTCTCATGTGCAATAAGCTCCTTCATCATCACATGTGTGAGCTTTGCAACATCTCCAAGCCATTTTCACCTTCATGGCATATGTTACTCACACATATGTACCTGTGGACTAATCACCTGTGTATCTCACATAAACACAATTAGTCCACCTAGGGTTGTCACTCAATTATCAAAACCACATAAGGACCTTTCAATCTCCCCCTTTTTGGTAACTGATGACAGCTCTACAGAGATATGGAAATTAAGCTATTTTGGATTCATGTTGCTTGCCCAAGCAATTTTACCATGTGTAAATGATTTTGGACAAGTACCACAAACCCGAAATGGTAGTATTAGCTCCCCATACATATATGCTAGAGTGTTTATTTTGAAGCTCGCACATATGCATAGATTGAATTTGTGGGAGAGTAATTACTACTAAATGATGCTAAGGTGTATAAGGTAAACCTTTGAAGCGTGATGCCAATCGGAGTTTTTATTTCATCAAACAAATTCTACCACCACACAAGCATGCATATTGAATTTAAAACCTTATGTATAGTAAGCAAGCACATGAATATGCACATATCAAATGCAATCAATCAAAGTTTATGAGCTTGCTCCCCCTATTTGTGTGCTTCTCTTGTCCAAGAATTTTGATCCATCTCTTTTCTTCAATGTTGCTCCCTCTTTGTCTATGTCCATGTCCAACCTCTACTTCTTTGTTTCAAGCTTTCATATCTTATTTCTCCCCCTTGTACAATCTCAATCTTAAAGCTTTCATATCTTTGTACAATCTCTCCCCCTTTGCCATCAATTTCTATAAAAGGTGAGCTTCTC